ATGATGTGATGATGATGATGATGATGATGATGTGATGATGATGATGAATGATGATGATGATGATGATGATGATGATGGAGGAGGAGGGAGGAAGAGGAGAGAGGGAGGAGGAGGAGGAGGAGGAGGAGGAGGAGGAGGAGGAGAGGAGGAGGAGGAGGAGTGCGACGAGGAGGTGGAGGTGGAGGTGGCGGTGGAGGTGGAGGTGGAGGAGGAGGAGGAGGAGGAGGAGGAGGAGGAGGAGGAGGAGGAAGAGGCGGAGGAGGAGGAATAGGACACGAGGCGGAGGAGGAGGAGAGGAGGAGGAGGAGAGGAGGAGGAGGAGGAGGAGGAGGAAGAGGAGGGCAAGGAGGAGGGCAAGGAGGAGGGCAAGGAGGAGGGCAAGGAGGAGGGATGGAGTGGGCTGAAGGAGGAGAGGAGGTGGTCGCCCGCGGCGGTTGGTCCTTCCGCCCCTCGCTGACGCCGCCCGCAGGAGTGCAACAACCACCTGGAGGCAGCCGTCTCTTCCTCTGCACGTGCGGCTGATCTGCGTCCTGCCGACGCCCTGCCGACGCCCTGCCGACGCCCTGCCGTTTTTCCGCCGTTTTCGATCTCTTTGGGCCTTCGTAAGGGGCCCGTGAATGTCAAACGGCGGCTCAGGATGAGAAGGCGGCCACGTGTAGAACACCTAAGGCATCTATGCCTGGGGCGGGCGCTCGGGTCCACCAGGCCGGCCAGATGAGGCCACAGCACGAGGTTCTCCCTGCCGACGTCGCCGATACATCGGCGACGCGGTGCGATCTTGCGATCCCATCAGCTAAAGCCCGTGTGGGCGGTCCCCGTCAAGGTTGAACTGGGCCAACCTTTGACGATCTCCGCTGTCGAATGGCGGAGATCGCTCGACATGGAGCGATCAGCGTGGTGTCAGAAACCAGCATCCGCGTCGTCACGAAGGACACCAGCAGTGTTCAGAGGCTCCCTCCCTCCCAGGTTCGAAAGACACCAGCAGTGTGCAGGGCCTCCCTCAGCAGTGTTCAGAGGCTCCCTCCCTCCCAGCTCCGCGTCGTCACGACGAACACCTCATAAGTTGGCGCACGACCTCCGCCATGGGAGTTGTTTCCTTCAGACAGACAGACGCTGGCCCTGCATCCAGGTGGACGCGCTGGCGGGAGAATGACAGGATGAAGGCAAACGTTTCTTCCCCTCGCGAGCGGCGACAGGCGACAGGATGCGGCTCAGAGCCACTCCCAATATGACGATGGTAGATGCGACGGTCGAAAATACAGCGGGACCGAGGTATAAGATCCAGGTTCGTTCGGGGAGGGTACCCTAATGTTCTTCGTGTTTGTTGGATGTCCTTGTGGGTCCTGGGAGAGGGCACCCTCGAATGTTCCTCAGTTTGGGCCGGCGGAGGGTCATGTTCTTGAGAGATATTCTTCTGTCCTAGATCCAACCCTACAGATGCACTGAATATGCCCATTGTTGCCGTGGACGACCTCTGCACCCTCTGGCTGGCCTCGTGACGGGAAACGTATAAAAGGGGTAGAGGCCGAATGTGACGAACCCCGTCCGCCATGGGGGAAACGGGTCCTGACGGAAACGGGTCTTGAGGGTGTTCGCCGTCCCCGAGCTTTCGGGGCCCTCAACGGGTACCAGGACCGTCAGAAAACGACTCAGAATGAAGAACTCGTCCTGGGGGAAGGCCCCAGGGTCCAGGACCCGCCTCCTACAGGACCCGCGTCCCCCATGCTGAACCACGTCCGTTCGATCCTGCCGTCCAGTCCCTCTACAGCGCATAGCTGCTGCTGCAGCCGGTCTGCGCCTCTGGGCCGCTCCCCGTCGCGGTGTCGAGAGCTCCAGGGCTGGCGGGGACCGCGACCTGGCGACGAAGTGCCGCCAGGGGGCCGGGCGAGCTGCGGCCGGGGAGCGCTCGAGCGTTGCTCCTGCAGCCTTGGGGCTTCCCCGCTGGATCTTAGAGGAGGACACGGTGCCCATACCGCGACCTTTTCTCGTTTCCCCCTTTTTGGGGCCTCCTGGGAGGCCCTCGTCGCTACCGCTGGATCCGCCTCGAAATTCTGGTCAGAACGCACCCCAGGAGGGGTCTGGGGAGTAGCGGTATCGGTACCTGGTGGTTTCCTCAGGAGTAGCGGTATCGATAGTTCTTGGTGCGCCATGAAGGAGTTGTCCTGAGGGTTAGGCACAGCTGGGCTCGGGTGCCTGGGCTCTTTCACCTCGGAGTGCTGGTTGTTTGGGGCATCGGGGCATCTCCGTGTGGCCCTGTACCTGCGGCGAAGGGGCTCATGTTTCTTAGCCCACACTCCTGTGGCCAGGTTTCGACTGCACCCCATCCCTCTTTCCCATGTCCCTTGCCCCTAGAGCCTCTCCTCCCCCTCTTCTTCCCTCTTCCTCCCACCACCTTTTCTCCCATCCCTCATTCTCCCCCATCCAGATGCCCAAGCACGCAGAAGGGTGAGGATGTGAGACAGATGCGAAAGAGGTCGGCCCGCTTTGATTCGATTCCGGT